GGGTTCGAATCCCCGTCACACCGAACATGTTCGCTCTTTCAGCCGCGGGGGCCTTATAATGTGACGGTCAATCCCACTATTCGTTGGTAAAAAGAGTAGCCCAAGAGTTGGCGGTGGGTGGTGATGACTAGCTGCCTTCCCTCTAGTCTTACACTGCTAAATTAGGGACGGCTCGTGTAGCTTTGCGCGAAATTCATAACAAACAAACAAACCATCAGAGGTGAAATTGAAAAAAGAATCTGTGACGTAGAGGCATTACTGTGGACTACAGTTTCGCGTATTCAAATAACGAATTAGGGGCAATGTCATATCATTATTCACTTGCTTTAATTAATTTAGGTTATTTTACAATGAAGTAAAAAGGACTCAATAAATCATGTCTATTTTAATGTTTCGATACAAATTGGAAACTTTTTGTTTTCTTATATTTTTCCATTACGGACTATTTGTATAGTGTTCGTGCATCATCTTAATGGCAAGAATAGTAGGACACAAATACAAACTTTGTCAGGGATCTTCAGCTAAGACAGTTTTATTTTTCTAACAGGGTAGTTGGCCTTTGGAACGGGTTTCTTTCAGATTTGATGGATGGAGTTAATTTAAGGGAAGGTTTGATAAATATTTGAATGATAAGGGCTGGCTTTGAGTGTTTTATTTTTCATTTTAAGGTTTAGTTTAGTGGAGGAGATGGCCTAGATGGACCAACAGATCCATTGTTAGTCTTAAATAATACATGTATGTATAAAAGCCGTTGAGGAAATATATAAGTTCTAGCCATTGATATCGAGTTTCTCTTCCTGTCGTAAAAGATAATTACTTACGTTCCCTTGAGTCTTTGTTTTGTAAAGCTAGAATGTAAAGCTATAGCTGAAAAACACTAGGTTTTCTACAAATTTCTTTATGGTTTGTAAAACATAAAAAATGTTTTCCCATTTTTCAGTTTATATATGTGAAACTAAAAATTACACCATTCTTATGTTCCGTGTAAAAACATTTACTATCAAAATAAAAGTTGGTTTGAGTTTGAGTAACAGCTAGTTCGTTAACTAAAACCATAATAACAAAGTCAGTAACAAATTAGTGTTGACGAATAATACTGTTATTTAAGCAGTGCTTTGACGCTGAACTTATAAACACACAACAACGTAAATTGAAAGTTGCTACAACAGTGGTTAAAAATAGTAAGTGTTACGTATAGACATACCCTTTCAAATGTTTTCAACCACATTGACAAACATGTTATTAGCGCGCACACACAGAAAAAACAAACAATTATTTTTAGCTTAAATAAATCCAAGGCTTGTAGTCTGTATGGATTTTTCACTCATAAATGAAAATCAGTAATGACACGTACATTTATTTACGATTTATCAAATATTCTATTGGCATAACAGGAATTTTTGTTTTCATTAAATACTCTGTAGTTTTATTGTTTGTTTGTTTTATAATAAAGCCATATTGGGCTATTTGCTGTGTCCACCGTGGGTAATCGAACACCGGATTTTGGCGTTGTAAGTTCCGTAAACTTACCGCTGTCCGACTATAGGGGCTAGTTTTATTGTGATATGGTATACGAAACAAACCCTATAATAACTGACCACTTACTGTAACAAAAAACAAATCCTGTAATAACTGACCACTTACTGTAACAAAAAACAAATCCTATAATAACTGACAACTTACTGTAACAAGAAACAAACCCTATAATAACTGA